GAAAAGAGGAGACCTGGGGAGCTCTACAGGGTCCAAAAGCCCCATAGCTGCATTTTGGTCTTCCTGATGTACAGCATTATCAGCACTTGCATTGACATTTGCTGCAGCTGCTGCTGCTGCTGCGTGCCTTCAAGTCATTTCTGACTTATGACAACCCTAATGTGAACCTATCAGCACTGACATAGATTTCTACCTGTCACACTTGATCTGTCTTATTTTATGCTAGAATGACAGGATCACAGATGTGCGCTGGTGAACTGGCTATAATAATGAACATCAATTGTTACAAAGCAATCTAGAAAGCAAAGGGTTTTCATGTTTGCCACTGAAACATACCATGGATCTCCAGGACTGCAACGCTCTTGTCATCAACAGCATCACACATATATTTTCCTTGGTCTTCATATTCACATTTGTGTATTGTGAGGCTTCTCTTAGTCCCCCGGGAAATGATTCCAAATTTTTTATTTGGCCGCAGCTCAGTTCCATCCTAGGAAGAAGAAGTCCAAATAGGTGTTTATGATCACAAGCTCTTAGCAGATCTGGCAAGATTATGTGCTCTCAATTTGCCAAAAACAGCCTATTCCAGGTTCTCTTGTTCTAAAGCTACTAGCATACTTCCAAGCTTCATAAACCCCTTTTCATGTAAGATATCATTAAGCCAAATATCCAAGACCACATCACAGCTCTTAGTGATTCACCAGACTGAGAGGTAACATTCAGAAGAATATGATGTCAGACTCAAAAATCCACCAAGCATATGGAAACATCACAACAGGTTGAGCTTCCCTTATCCAATATACCTGGGACCAGAAGTGTTTGGGATTTTAGAATTTTATTTATTTATTTATTTGGATTTTGGAATACCCATATTTACATAAATATACTTGGAAATGGGACCCAGGTCTAAACACAACCTTCATTTATGGTTCATACACAGTAGCCCCACTCAATTCATGGGGGATATGTTCCAGACCCTCCCACCTCCAGCAAAAATGGTAGCTCATAAAATTTTCAAATCCCATTGAAATTAATGGCACACACACCTGTGGCGCATGTGCGGAACCGCATGTGGGCATGCGCCCCATTTTATTCCCCTCCGTTTGCAGCCCACAAAAGGGCAAGGGACACAGACTCAAAGTCTGTGAAAACAAAGGGGTGACTGTACACCTTCTTCTACACATAGTCTGGAAATAATTTTGTACAATATTTTAAATAATTTTGTGCATGAAACAAAGTTTTGTGTATGCTTAACCATCATAAAGCACAAGTGTCAATCTCTCAGCCACTCATGAAAAATAGTTTTTGGTTTTGGAGTATTTCAGATTTCGGAAGGGAGACTCAACCTGTATATTACTTATCTAGCTAACTAGGTTAGGATTTACATGGCTCCTTTTATTACCTGACTCCTTTTATTACTTCCTTTTCATTCTTTCAATTATCTATGAGAACTTTCCCTTCTGTGAATGGGGTACATCATGGAAGTTGCCTAGTAACCACAAGTTCTGTTTCAATGCCTGCAGGCTTAGCAACCCAACAGAATTATTTTTAGCATAAGCTAAAAACCCATTGGTCTGCCTATGAACCTACTCTGCCAGATATCATCTCAGTCTAATTCGTTGGGTCCTTGGTATCCACTTGGTTCCACCCCATAGACCTCCCAGGGATACCAAAATCCATGGATACTTGAATCCCATTATAATGGTACAGTACAACAGTGTCCCTTGTATAAAATGGCAAGATCAAGCTTTGCTTTTTTAGAATTTATATATTTTCAAATATTTTCAGACCATGGATGCTTGAATCTGTAGATCAAAAATCCATGGAATACTGGGGGCTGACTGTAATAATATTCCAGCTACTTATTGTAGCAAATGAAAAAGGAGCCAATTGCTGCCAAACTGCACATCTGCCATTTTAATGTATCTCCTGCCTCGACTTGACTTCAAAGGCTTCCGTTTTGCCTAGGAAAGGTGGATAAACACAGGACAACCATGTGGAGCAGAATACCTTTGAAAATGAAACCTAGTTTTCTGTTACAAACATGAACTAAGAAAATGAATCTCATGCTCTGTTCAGCAGACATATAGCCGCTGGTATATGTATACTTCCTGCATGTTGTGTGAGTGCCAGTCATTTCCAATTTATGGCAACCCTATCATTTAGTTTTCTTGGCAAGATTTGTTCCAAGGAGCTTTGCCATTGCCTTCCTCTGTGGCTGAGAGCATGTGACTTGCCCAAAGTCACCCAGTGGGTTTCATGTTCAAGTGGGGAATTGAACCCTTGTCTCCAGAGTTGTAGTCCAACATCAAACCACTGGATTTACATGACTCCTTTTACTATCTGGCTGGTCCTTTTCATTCATGCTGGCTCTTTAATTAAATCAGTTTTCACCAGAAGACTAGTTTAAAAGGGACACTTAAAGAGTCATCAGTGGTAAAGAGCATCATAGTAGACAAAATATACTTTTAACAATCACTTCATATAAAAACTAATATTCTTCATATTCACTATGCAGAAATTGGCACACTAGACCATAGCTCATATAACTTGAATCATTTTCCATTCATTGACAGTCTGGCTTTAATTGCAATTGCTGATGGGCTCATTATAAGCAATAAGAATAAGAATCAAAGTCCCTCCACCTTTCGCAACACTCAGAAAGAGAATAACTTCAGGCCCCATCCCTGGAAAGTCAATTCAGTACCTTACGCCACTTCACTTCTGCATTTGGCCTGGAAAGTTCACACTCAAAAGTTACTCCATCTTTGTGCTGAGCTTTGATATCTACCAAAGGTTTGATTATTTTCACTGGACTTTCTGGAAAAAAAGGAATGGGGGAGAGAGAGAGAGAAAAGGAGCCCTGTGTTTGTGAAAGACATGATAAAGCATGAGATGTTCTGGCTGTCAGGTAAGAAATACAAAAAGACACACATAATGAAATGCTGTTTCTAGAGATAAAAGCAGAGCCATCATCAAGATCCATATTCAAGACTGCTGCCACACTGCAGAATTAATGCAGTTCAACACAGCTTTAACTGTCATGACTCCATCCTATAGAATCCTGGGGTTTGTAGTTTGTTGTGGCACCAGAGAAAAGGCTAAATATCTCACAAAACTATAAATCCCAGAATTCCATAGCACTGAGCCATGGCAGTTAAAGTGATCTCAAGCTGCGTTAATTCTGTAGGGTAGATGCAGCCAAAGTGGGATGACAGAGGATTACTTGGGAGTGTCCCAGCCAAACTGGAACAGCTGGAACACATATTTTTGAATATTTCACTTTGGTTTTTACAGGTTGAATATCCCTCATCCACAATTCTTGGGACCCGAAGTGTTTTTGATTTTGGACTTTCTTTGGATTTTGGAATATCTGTATTTGCATATATGTATGAAATGAGATATCTTGGAGATGGGAGTCTAAACACACAAAATGATTTGTTTCATATATACCTTATACACATAGCCTGAAGGTAATTTTATGCAATATTTCTTAATAATTTTGTGTATGAAACAAAGTTTTGTGTCCATGGAACTCTCAGAAAGCAAAAGTGTCAGTATCTCAGCCACTTATGAAAAAGTTTTGGTTTCTGGAATATTTCAGAATTCTGGATAAAGGAGACTCAACCAGTTCTCTAGCTAGTTTGTTTAGAATTGGACTAACTGTATTTCTTACCATTTACATGGCTCCTTATATTACATGGCTGGTCTTTTTCATTCTTTCTGTTATCTGTGGAACCTTTCCCTTCTGTATTTGAGGTACATCATGGAAGTTGCCTTGCAACCGCAGGTTCTGTTTATGATCGTATAAGTTTAGCAACCCAAGAGAATTAGTTCTGGGGAAAGTTCTGTGGTTGCTAACCAACCACAAGTACAAACTTCAAACACACTCCTTCTGGCCAACAAAATGGATGGATGGATCTAAAGTACAGTGCTTCCCGTTGGCCCCATATTTCACAAAAGAATCCCATCAGTCAATTGGAGAAATTGGGGCTGTACAACCATGCATAATAGAGTGGATCCTTGGTATCCAGTGGGGTTTGGTTCCAGGACCCCCAGTGGATACCAAAATCTGTGGATGCTCAAGTCCCATTAAATATAATGGCATAGTGAAATGGTGCCCCTTATATAAAATGGCAAAACCAGAGTTTGCTTTGTGAAATTTATATTTTTTTAAAATATTTTCAATCCATGGGTGGTTGAATCCATGGATAAAGAATCTGTGGCCATGGAGGGTCAACTGTATAAAGAGGGCACCAAATTGGAGAGTATGCCTACCTTTCACGTTAAGCCTGCCTGTGGTGTGAACACCTTCTGCCTTAAATGCAATGAGGCCCGAATCTTCGATAGCAAGAGATGAAAGCGTCAGAGAGTGTTTCTTCCCTTGGACACTAATGAGGCATTTCTCCTTAGCCTTCAGCCTCACGCCGTCCTTCATCCAGGTTCCTTCCACATTCTCATGGGACAGCTCTACTTCAAAAGTGACGGCGTCTTTCTCATGGACCTCCATGGGTTGCAGACCCTTCACCACCTTGATGGGCCTCACTTAGGGACAAAATACATAATAAAGAATGAGATGTGTCTGAAACAAAGCTGATCCCATGCTTACCCCTCTTCCATTTGAGAACATATGGAGCATCTCTGCATCCGTCTGGAAAATGTACTAAGAAAAAGATACAGAACGCTGGCAAAGATGGACTTTGAGAACATAACTGATTGTTAGTATAGGACAGTAATCTGCGATGTAAGGCAGGGGTCGGCAACCTATGGCCCGTGGGCCGGATGCGGCCCGTGGAGGCCTTTGGACCAGCCCCTGCATGGTCCTGCCACTGCCTCCGCCTTTCACAGCCGCAGGGATCCTCTGGGGTGCCATTTTGGATTCCAAAATGGTACCCGGAGTCTCACAGGAAAGGTCGTGCAAGACTCCGGGGTGCCATTTTGGATTTCAAAATGGCGCCCCAGAGAAGGCCCAGCGCTGCCATGGGAAGCCTCCTGGGGGGCCCCCGTGGCTGCGTTGGGCCTTTCGGAGACCCGGCGCTGCTGAGCGAAGCTTCCTGGGGGGGCCCCACTGCAGCGCTGGGCCCTTGGAGGCCCAGTGCTTCCGAGGGGGGCCTCCTGGGAGGCACCTGTGGCATCACTGGGCCTCTCGGAGGCCTGGCGCAGCTGAGGGAGCCCTCCTGGGGGGACCCCACCATCGTGTGCATGCATGCATGACGTGAGGGGGTGGCCGCCATTTTGTTTTTCAAAATGGCAGCATGCACCCACGCACGCACCATGCCCTCACGGGGGGGCTAGCACATGCGCACACCAGCCCCCAGAGCCATTCCCCCCCCCCGGCCCATCAGCAAAAAAGGTTGCCGACCCCTGGCGTAAGGCCTAGGAAATACCTTGCATTCACACTACAAAAATACAGCACTTCTATATCACTTTAACTGTCATAAGCATATCCAACAGAGTTCTGGAGTATGTAGTTTTGTGAGGCAAGGAAGCTCTTTGGCAAATAATTCTAAACAGCTTGTTAAACTAGAAATTTGAGGAATTCAATGGAAGGAACCATGGCAGTTAAAGTAGTGCCAAGGTGCTATAATTATGTAGGCTGCATCTACACTGCAGAATTGATGCAGTTTGACACCACTTTAACTGCCATAGCTCCTTCCTATGGAATCTTGGCATTTGTAGTTTGTTATGGCATCAGAACCCTCTGACAAAGAAAGTTAAATATTTCACAAAACTACAAATCCTACAGTTCCATAGTATTGGGCCATGGCAGTTAAAGCAGTGTCAAACTACACTAATTCCTGTGGTCATGCAGTCTAAGTCTTGTATCTCGAGGAAGTAGACCAAGGCTACGAAAGCTTGTGGTACAACTTCTTTTGCACTGTTGGTCTCAAAAGTGCTACAAGAGCTCTGTCTTTTAAAGTCATATTTGCCTTTGACTAAATTTACTGCTGTTGCTACAAGGAACCTTTTCTGACTTTTCCCTGTCTAAGCTGCAAAGATCCCAAAATCTCAGGCATACCTGTTTATTTTTTTATTAAGTTTATTAAGTACAAAATACAAACCAATAACAAACAGTAAAAACACATAACATAGAACAATAAACTAACATACTCGACTTCTCCCCACTCACCGACTACACCTCCCCAACCCCCTAAAACATACTCACATAATAACTACAATAACTACATAATAACTACAATAAACAAAACTCCCAAAGTTTCGACGGCATATTTATAACCATGCTTAAACTCAACCTCAAAGCTAAGCAATAAATAAATTTCAATTCCAAAATTAATTCCTAGACTTCTACCTCCTACCATATGTGAGGAGAGGTTTACGTTCATATCGAAAACTTCTAACATTTTTTACAAAATTATTCCCAAAATCTTGCAACTAGCTCACTATAATTGCTTTTTGCCAAAAAAATTTGTCAGAGGTTCCCATGTTGTTTTCAGATCATCCCAAGATATCCCTCTTAAAAACAGAGTGAGTTTATCTGCGACTACGAGGCATACCTGTTTATAGGGGTGACCTTTGGACTGGGTCAATGGATATTCCATCACTCAAGGTGAAAGAATGTGCTTACAAGCACACTGGGGTTATTTTGGGGAAGAGCTGAGGAGGAAGGGATTAGCAAAAAGCATCAACTCAACACACTTAAGGACTGCATTAGCAGCTGTTTCTTCTGTGGTACAGTAGGAGACCAGAAGCAAAAGCACTTTTTGTTCTGCAAACCAAACTCACTCCAGCATAGTGGAACAGTCTGCATAGCTAAATTGGGCTATTGACAATATAGCTTAAATGTATCCACACAATGCTGTGCATTCCTGTGGTCATTCTTCCCATTAATTCAGGGAAAATGCCTTACACTGGAGGAAATTTTGCAGCTGCCAACTCTGGATTTCACTTGCCCTAATGGCATGCCTTCCAACATTTCAAAGAACAAAATTGGGAAACATGTGATCAAGCAAAATCAGTGAGTGGTCAAGATGGCAAAAGTTATTAATGAGGATAAACACACAAGCTAGGAAAGGCTGCGGCCATTTGCTTTTGCTTGAACCTACAGGGCAGGGCATGATTCTGCTCCCTTCTCTCTCCTTTCCCCATTGAGTTAACTGGGTGGCAACTACTTTTTATTATTTATTCATTAATTTCATTTATATGCTGCTTTTCTCCCAGAGTATACCCAAGGTGGATTTGAAACAGTTTCCACCAACTGAAGTAAGCTGAGAATAAAGGGGGGAAGTGGGAGGGAAAGAGAAATTGGGACATTTTAAAAGCAACTGAGAAAATGAGTTGAGAGCGGATTAATCAGGACTGACACTAAATCA